CCACAAAAGCTGTTGTCTTGTGGTTGTGCTGTTACTGCTGCACTGCAGTTGGAGGACAAAAGGGACATTGTCTCTCCCTTCACAGCACACAGCAATGTGATAGGAGAGTGACTGACTGGGTTGCTGAGCTAAGCATTCCCATGGTCCTAAGTGCTAGCCTAAGCACTCTGACTAAGCAGAGATAGGGGTCATTTCTAAGGAAAAAGAAAAGAAAATAGGAAAAATCATAACACAAAGAGTGTGACCATCACCTTGCATAATGTGCTGTACATTCCTAGTGTGACTGTCCACCTTATGTCAATTCCCACACTAGCTCAACATTCCAACATTGTGATGCATTTCAATGATGTCTCATGCTGGCTGACAAATAAAATCTGAGACATTCTCAGTAAATCCTGAAATCTCTACAATCTCAACCTTTCAGCATCTAAAGTCAAACATGTACTCATTATGACTAAGCATCAACCAACTCTTAAAATCTGATATAGATGACTTGACCATCTAAACTACTCAGCCATTGCCAAAATAATCCAAGTTGATGCTGCTGAAGGTATGCCTGTTGATCTATCCTCTGTATCATTCAAGTACCAATCATGTATTTTTGAAAAGCAGACCAAAACACCAGTACTGAAGAAACAGAAAGAGAGTCACAGAGCAACTAGAAAGCTGGAGATTGTATAGATAGATCTGTCAGGACTGCATGCTGTTACTTCTTGAACTGGCAATAAATATATTATGAACTTTGTTGATGATTGTATAAGTTACACATGGATATTCCCTCTCCCTAACAAAGATAATACTTTCTCAGAATTGCAAGCATAGGAGCTTGCACACTGATAAACTAGAAATTGTTTGATAATACTCTCTGCAGACAGAAACCACAAAATCTATATTGATAAGTGAAACCAAGACACAGAATCTGAAGGCTGGCCCAAGTGACTCTAGTTGTGTACTTCCATATGGTGACTAATCTCTAAAGGGGTGTAGCAAGAGATAGCTACAGAGATGTGAGACTCTGAATTGTGACTCATGATATATATGTGAACTTTTCTATAACAGAAATGTCATATATGGATCTGGGTACTGAATGGTGCAATCTATATATGATGCAAACTTTTAATGTCAGAATCCTATATGCAGTCCTAGTGGGGTCTAGGAAAAATTATTTGTGTTATTCCTCTAAGCAGGAACAGTAAGTTATAGTGTCTGAAGTTAAAGGTGCAGAATACTATCTACAGTTACCCTTCAAGGTCTTCTGTTAGGTCTAAGAGGTATAAAGATGACATGCAAGAGTAGCAGATCTCTTTCATGTTTTTGGAAATAAAGCAAGACAAGTCAATATTTCATGAATTAATAAGTTCATTAGTGTTGTATGCCAGCCTTCAGGCAGGACACAAGATTGTCAAGATGCTATAGTGCTCTCAGTTGAGAGGTATTGACCTATATGTGGTCTGTGTAACTGATTCTATTAGAGAGGTGTTGCATGAGTGTACAGTTCAGTATGAATGTCAAGTACTCTCTGTGTCACTTATGTGTAGAGTATTCCTCCCTCTTTTATATACTACTTATACTACTCTTTTACTAATACTAAGTATGCTACATTTAAACAGCCTTTGTAACTGCAGTACTAAGCTTAGTGAGTATAGCAAACTTTTTATTACATGAAGCCTTTAAGGCTGTGAGACTTGTAGTAAACATAGTGTATTTAAAGGTTTGCATAGCCAATAGTATATTAGCTCTTCTAATATTCCTTACAAATATCTAACTAAACACATGGTTAGTCCTCTGCCACCTACTAGTATTCTACATGCCAGCTGTAAAAAGCTTAGCCATCTACAGCCAGCCTTGTATATGCATTGTGATGGATCTTAAGCTATGTCAGAGTGCCACATGTATACTTATAATAATATATGCCTTATATGATTGGATATTATAGTGCCTGATAGTGCCTATAGTGCTTATTATTAAATCAAAAATTTGCATATCATGAAGGTTAATGGGAAAAAGTCTACAAGATTGAGAAAAGTTCACAGACAAGAGAAAAGTCCATATGTAACATATAATCTTTGTGCACAAGAGGATGTCTGTGAATAATGAATAGTTCTCAATGAAATTACTGCTGTTGAACTCAGAATGATTGGTTTACTGAAAGTCTGTCTAAGAGCAGAAGTCAAAAATAATTATTGAGGCCTGCAATTTCAGAGTGCATAGAGCCTAGAGGCTCATCAATGCAATAATATGCTGGGTATATATTCAGCCCTATAATTTGCAAATTCTGTATAACACACTAGAATATGATAGTAACTGAGGACTATTAGCTAGTAGAGGACTATAGCTGAGGCTCCAAGCTGATAGTCATGCTAGTCACTAATACTAAGTCCAAAAGAGACTTTGTAAAATAGCACAGCATAAGGATAAAAGTCCTAAGTTGAGAGTCCAAGTTGGACTTAGAAACAATATCTCAAATAGAGCCAATTCTATATGCCACTAAGACAAGTATATTCTAAGATAGCTAAGAGTATAATACTATAGCCAGCTGTGGAGTATTGAGTAAAGACAGCACCATCCAGAAGCAATAGGAAGTGGAATTCAATGATCTGTGGCTAGCACTCCAAGTTTTGATTCAAATGCCTAAGTCAGAATTTCTAGATGTCAGGTGACCTAAGGGACTTAGAATTGAGAGGAATAGAGTGGATAGGATTAGTCAGTTAGGCATAATCAGGTCTGATCAATCAAGCTACTAAGAATAGCTCAGAGGATTAAAACTCTGGATAGACAGAAAGGAGTTAGATACCCACAGGCCCTGTAAGCTTAAAATAAAGCTGTGTGGTGGCTAGGCAGGTCTGAGCAAGCCTAGGGGAGTCCAGGAGTGCTGCCATTCCAGAATAATGGCATGATTCCGCTTTAAACAGGAGAAATATTATTTTGAACACTTTGTTTATAGATTTTGCATCTGTTTTTAATGTATAAAAGTAAGGAAGGGAGAGAAATAGCAAGCAAGCGACCCACCTCCATATTCAGGCCTTCTAGCCCACTGTAGTTAGTCTCTGGGACAACAAATTTTGAGTTCTGCTTCAACTTAGTGATTTATTTAAGTTGCTTTATCACTTGGAAAGGATTGGATTGGAATATTAACTGTATTTTGGGTTTCAGATTAATATGGGTTTCAAACTATAAGGGTTTCAGCATCAGAATACAAGTTTTTTGGTTTTGAAGACTGCTAGCCAGCCAAGAGTGCAGCTAGTCAAGCCCAAGTGCTTGATAGACTTAGTATTTGGGTTTCAGAGTTCATTGGGTTTCAGAATATTCTAAGTTGATTTAGAGCACAATTGTGCATTGATTCTAAGTCCTAATTGTACTTAAACATTGCAATAAACTACTCTCATGAGTATTGCATCTTTGAAAGCCAGATAGAGTTAAATAACTGTCTTTATTGACTGTTTCTTTGATTTTATTTAAGACTGCAAGAGTGCTTCTACTGTACTCAAAACAACCAACCTCAATTGTATTTGGTGATTGTGTATTGAGTGGTTAGATGTTGGTGTTTGAGAGTTTATTCCTCATTCACCTCTCTTAGTCACTTAGCTGTTACCAAGCACATCATCAAGTCATGCTCTTGATCTGCTTGTGTATCTCTTTCTCTGTTGGTATAATCATTGTCTGAAAGTGTTTGGGCTTTAATAATGTAACTCCATCATTGTCTTCCTCTCCTTGATCATGGTCAGCCCATTGGCTACAAAGGTCAGCCTTCTTGTTGGCCATCTCAGCTTTATGATGGAGTGTGTACTGATATTTGGATAGCTCTGTGACCCAGCACACTTGCTATTGGTTAAGTTTCTGGAGTGATCAGAAATATCAGAGATTCTGGTGATTGGTCCAGATCTCAAAGGCATAGGTGATGCCAATCAAGTAGTGTACCACTCTGACAGGGCTAGCATAATTGCTATGAGTTCCTTGTTGTAAATCTCATAGTTCCATTCTGTGACTGTTAGCATCTTAGAGAGAAAGGCTACTGATCACCACTTTCTCTCCTGTTTCTGTGATAGGACTGTGCCAATGGTCCCTTCACTCAAGTTGGCCTCCACCTAGAATTTTCCCTTCTATGTTGGTATAGCCAATATGATGTTCTCTGCCAATTGCCTCTTGAGGTCACTGAATGCTGCTTGCTGAGAAGGTCTCCACAACCAGGAGGCATTGCTTGTTAATTGAGTCATGAGTTATATGACCCTACTGTAATCTTAGATGAAGCATCAATAGAAGTTGGTGAATCTTAGGAAGGATTGTAGTTCCTTCTTCTTGGTCAGTTCAGACCATTCCATTACTCTGGCTATCTTCATCAGATCCATCTGTATGCTTCCTTCACTGATAATGACTCTAAGATACTCTGTCTCAAGTACCTTGAACTTGCACTTCTCAGCCTTAAGGAACAGTTTGTGTTTCTTCATGAGGTTGAGAACCTGTCAAACCAGCCTTTAGTGTTCATCCTGATCCTTGGACATGATTAATATGTCATTCAACTAGATGGTTACCTTTTCAGTGGTGATGAGATTCTTAAAGATGTCATTCATCATCCACTGGAAGGTTGCCAGAGAGTTAGACCAAAAAACATGACTGTTGATGAACCAGAAGTTGTTTAGCCAGAGACTCTCTGTGGGCAGGAAATACAAAACCTCTTGTGGTAAGTGAAGCCAAGATGCAGAATCAGAAGGCTGGTTCAAGCAAGTCTAGTCTGTGTACCTCCATACAGTGACTAATCTCTCAAGAGATATAGCAGAGTATAGCTACAAAGATATGAGGCTCTGGTTTATTTACAGGGACTCACAGTATGTGTGTGAACTTTCCAATAACAGGAATATCACATAAGAATCTGGATACTAGATGGTGCAGTCTATATGTGATGCAAACTTTTATTGTCAGAATTCTATATGCAGTTCTGATAGGGTCTAGAGAAATGACTAGTGTTTTCCAATTATCTTTCAAAGTGTTTTGTTAAGTCTTGGCAGTGTGAGAATTACATGCAAGGGTGATAGATCCCTTTCATGTTTTTGGGAATGAAGCAAGACAAGGCAATATTTTATGAATTTTATAAGTTTGCTTATTGTTGTATCTAAGCCTTGTAGAGTTGTCACAATGCTATAGTGCTTTCAGTCAATGGGTGTTGACCTATAGGCAGTCTGTGTAGCTGGTTCTATTAGAGAGGTGTTGTACTAGTGTACAGTTTAGTATGGATGTTGAGTAGTCTCAGTATTGCTTTTTTTTTCTTGTGTTATTTTATATACTACTTATACTATCTTTTTACTAATACTAAGTATGCTACATTAAACAGCCTTTGTAACCACAGTACTGGCTTAGTGAGCCTAGCAAAGTTTTTATTATGTGAAGCCTTAAAGGCTGTAAAGCTTTTAGTAAACATTGCATATTTAAAAGTTTGCATAGCCAATAGTATGCTGATCCTTCTGATATTCCTTACACATCTAACCAAAAACAGAGTTAGTCCTCTGCAGCCTATTACCCTTCTACATGCTAGCTGTGAAAAGCTTATACATTCACAGCTAGCTTTGTATACATGTTGTGATAGACCTTGTGGGCTGCATTAAAGTGTCACATATATACTAACAATCATGTATATCTTATATGATTGGGGATTGTGATGCCTGGCCAGGCCTATAGTGCTTATTATA